CCTTCTTTCTTGTCTTCTTAATGACTTTTTGCTTTCTTCATGTATGATGTTCTTGATGTCATCCCACAACTCTTCTGGTCTTCTGTCTTTAGTGTTTAATGTATCAAATCTGTTCTTCAGATGATTCAAGATCATACTTTGGCTCTCGTGGACTTGTTTTCATTTTCTTGATCTTCAGTTTGAATTTGCATATGAGTAATTGATGATCTGTTCCACAGTCTGCCCCTGGCCTTGTTTTCACACTAGAGATGTAGGCATGACTAAAAAGCTCTGTGTCTTGATTGTTGTGGTGGTTACTTAAATCTACACATCTGATAAAGTATATTATAAAACTACATGTAACACACAAATAAGTAACATAAGGTAAGATCAGAGTAAGCTTTATGGATTGTACCAGTTTTCTGGTTTTGAAGATGCTACTACTGCAGGAAACTGGGTGAACAGTATAGGGTCCACTCCATGTTTACTGGCTAAGAATAAGAATCCACAATTATGTTAAAATAGAATGTTTTAGAAGAAAACAACTACATAAAGTTATAAGTACGATTACTGTTGTTGCTAAGTAGGTTCCAATCCATAGCAACCTCATGTAGGGTTTCTGAGGAGCAACTGGTGAGTTTGAACCACTGACCATGCAGTCCAGCGCATTATCCCACAGCACCACACTAGGACTCCATAAGTAAGATAACGATATATTTATTGTTTTTGTGAGTTGCCATGAAGTCACATCTGTCTTATAGCAACCCCAGGTGCACAGAAAACTGCTCCATGAGGTTTTTCAAGGACTTTGACATTTCAAAATCAAATAACCAGACCTATCTTCCAAAGAGCATCCTTGTGGGTTCTGCCACCCTTATAGCTAGTAGTCAAGTAAGCACTCCTTTGTGAAAACAATTAATGCATTTGACTGCTAACCAAAAGGTTGAAGGTTTGAGTCTACACAGAGTGCCTTGGAAGAAAGGTTTCATGATCTATCTCTGAAAAATCAACCACTGAAAAACCTATGGGGGGTGGGGGGGAAACGGACAGAAGAACAAGGTAGATAGGGCAACACTTAGGTAGGTTTGCATGGGCTAAATGTGTCAGGCGTAAATAGTGATGTATGCTCAACCTTGGAACAACATGGCTCTGTGATACAGGGATTGATGCATAGTCTGAATGGTGAGAATGAAAATACAATATCAAAACAACTGGGGCATAGCAAAAGCAATGCTAAAAGGGCAATTTATAGCAATAAATGCACACATCCATAAAGAA